CTGTTAGGGAATAAGTAATGCCTTGTTCCTTAAGAGGCTTAAATAATTTTGCCCATGACACTGTTCCAGGTGTGAGTAAGTCTAAGTAAATGAGCTTTCTGAATACATTGCTGTATGGATATGATTGTGTTTGCATGAATGCCATTTAAAAATGATATCCAAGAGAGTTAGGAGCTCATCATTTGGTTGATCAAGCAATATGTTTGGTTGCTCAGGAGTGTATCAGAGTTGAAAAAAAAAACAAAAAACAATGATCTATGTGAGACAGACAGCTCTTCCATATAAGAATCCCCAAAGGCAATGAATATACAAATGGTCCTTGACTGGGGTCATTTGACAGTGTCATATTTCAAAAATTTTTAATAAATAATTTTTGTTGTTATAATTCCATTGGGAAGGAGGGGAAGATGGGGTATACTACTGGCATCTAGTGGATAGAGGCCAGGGATGCTACTAAAAACTTCCATAGCTCTCCACAATGAATTATTTGACTCAAAATGCCAGTAATGGTAAGGTTGAAAAACTCTGGGTCAGACCAAAGAAGACTTAGAAAATCTTAAAAGAACTGTATATAACTATCAAAAAAATGACAAACATTAACAATTTTCTCATTTAAAAATATTCGACATATACTAAAAAATTTCAAAAGAGTAGGTGGGAGCATCGTAAAAATGGAAGAACTCAGCTTAACTTCAGAAAACTCAAACTTTCAGAAATGCTGAAAACTTCCTGAAATTATAATTTAAGATTCAAATGAGCAATGTGCTTTTACACCAGTACTAAATGACAGATGAGATGATGAATTACCACCCCCCTAATTCTGTTCTCTGACACTTATACCAGAATTCCCTCATGAAATCATACTGTATGAGAAAAGCCAAAAGGCAGATTTTTATTTAAATTTGATTATAACACAAGGTTCCAAATATGGTCCTTAGGGAGAGCATGAGAAGTTCATGTCCTGCAAACAAATATATTTGGTTTAATTGGTGTTGCAACTGGTTAATGGGACTTAAATTCTTATAAGGCAATTTCCTTGTTTATACATTGTGAATAAAATATACAATTTTATTAAGTTACATAAAATAAAATATTAATTTTGACATTTAAAATGCAAAGAATAGTTGAAAGAGTAGATTTCCTTTCTTTAAATTTGTTTTTATATTTTAATTGAGGTATCCTAGTCTACAGTAGTATTGAAGTTATTATTTTATAGTTGCAAAGTCTGTACAAATTTCTCCATCAGTGTTTCAATATTGAAAGGTGAACTTGTACTTGAGACCAGTCCAGTCTCTATTAAAAACAGAATGAAGACTTCTTAAAATATTGAAAATGGAATGACCAAGTGATCTAGTCATTCCACTCATAGGCATCTATCCTAAATACACAAAAACACTAATTTTTATAATGAAATTATGAGTGCACACTTATGTTCATTGTAGCTCTATTTAGAAAAGCTGAAAACAACCCCAAATACCCAATAATAAATGAGTAAATAAAGAAGTTGTGGTACGTATACACAATGGAGTATCCACTCCACTCAGTTATAAAAAAAATGGAATCTTGAATTTTACTACAATATGGATGAAACTAGAAAGCATCATTTTATGTTAAGCAAAGTAAACCTGAGGGAGAAAGACAAATATTAATGGATCTCATGTCTATGTGGCATATAAAGAAATAAAAAAAAGCAAAAGATCAGGCAATGTCCAACAGTGCAGGGGGAAGAGAGAATTTTTAGACTCTGACAGAACTGAGGTTACCAAGTGAAGACAGGAAATAGAGCTGGATGGGAAATACCCGAATTATTGCCACTTTGTTTGTGGGTATGATGTGGTTATATTGTATCCCTAAAAGATGAAACATTTATATTCTTGTAAACCATGCTCAATATAATAGGGAAAAATAAATAAGTCAATAACTCATGAGTTTTTTTTTTGAATTGTTAACATCTATTTCAGATGACTGTGAGGATTAAAAAAAAAAGATGGAACTATGGATGAAGAGATTTTATCACCATGTGACTTTGAAAGCTTAAAATATCTGTCCAGGCAGGCCCATAAACGTTAGAATCCTTTTTTCCCCCTTTTTTTCAGCTATCCACTCCACTCTGGAGTAGTACAGAACCTCTATGTGTAGAAGATAATGGTAAGAATATTTGTGTTTTACTAGCTACAAGGACTTTGTCCCCAAACCCCAAAGTGAATGTCAAGCCTCAGTGAGCTCTGCTGCCTGATGAACTATGAAGGGTCCTGTAATGTTTATGCCTCTGAATCTTCTTCTAGTGAGAAGGGGGTGTCTTTCACCTCTGGTCTTTCAAAGGGAAAAGTGTCTAAGAAAGCATAGGCAATATAGGAAAAAAGAAACAGGCAAGCAAACAGAAACAAGCCTTTCTCCATACAGAACAAGTCTGCACATAACTCCTGCCTTGCCTCTCTGGACACTAGAAAGTAGAGCATCTAGAAAGACTGAAGGTGTAGTTTTCACAAAACTGAGCTTACTTCCTCTATTTTAGATACTATGCAGTTTGGGGTGGTTTGAGGGTTGGGAGGTGAACTCCTCCATGAAGACAATTTACTAAAAGGATTAACAGTGGCTTTCATTAGAGCATAAAGATTTTAGATTTGTGAGATTTAAGAGCAAAGAAACTGAGACAGCATCATCAGAAAGAGCATGAAACTTCAGGAAAACTGGTATCAAGGAGTCAGAAAGGAGTACAGAAAATGACTGTGAGAAAAACAGAGACAAACACCCTTTAGGCAAAATTTTGCAGAAACTAACCTGATATCTGAAGGTCTTTTCACATCAAGAGCTCTGATTTCCCAGGGAAGTTGCCCTCCAGGCATGTCTTCATACCTAGAGGACTTAGAAATGTCCATCCAGCTCCAGAACTTCAAGCTGCTCTTCAGACAAATCTAAATTGTTGCACTGTATTAATTGTAACCAATCTAACTCACCTTGTAGAAGATGCTGTGCTGCAAATTAGAGAGAGCTGAGATTTGAAGAAAGTCCCATAGATAACCATCATTATGGATGTATGGCTAAAAACATGAGGAAGTATTACTGGTCATAGCAAAAAAGCAAGGAAATCAACTCGTTTGATAGTTTCCTAGAAATAGAACTGGACTAACCATGTAACCTCTGCTTTCCTACTCCATGCAGATCATTTGTGGAGAAGGCATAATATTTGCAGTTTTCCTCACCTTATCACAATAGAGAGGTAGAAGAATGGTCCGAGTTTAGCAAGTTTGCCTCACAAAAGCCTATTCCTAGCTACTCTTGCTTATTCTCAAAATTGTGAGCAATCCCATATTTGAATTGATTTGAGATTCATGCATATTTGACTACAGAGAAAGGAAAGTATGTGATGCTCATAACAACTGGCAAGAATGTGGGAAAACAGCAGGAGGTACTCAGAAAACTCTTGAATATACAGGGCAAGCACTCAGTCTCATTTTTATTGTAAGGATTTTTGTCTTGCACTAGTTTTGTTGAGCATGTATGCCTTCCCTAAGATGTCTGTGGGAGAAGAGAGTCACAGAGGGAAGGTCAGCCAAGATTAAATCTGGACACTAAAGAATTATTGTCTTCGGGCTGAAAAGAGTTCATTTAAAATGGTTTAGGTAAAAAGTTTGATAAAGACAGTAGTTACAGAAGATATTACCAAAATTTGCCCTTGGTATTGCAAGGCTCACAGCTACTTAACAGGGAACCAAGGTCAGCTCTCACCATCATCCTTTCAAATTGGATCAGTCCTGGGGAGAAATTCACAGCTATAAAGATCGACATTTGTGGCACCAACTTGAACGGGGCAGCTTCTGGCAAACCATGAAAGTAACTCCCCACCCAGCAGAACTTGTCTCTACATTTCAGAACCTGCCCTTATCCTTCTTGCCCTCCTCCTCATGATATTTTATCTTATCCTACATCCCTTTCCTCTTCCTCTTTTCTCTCTGTCTGCCCTGGGCACTACCCTGTGGGATTGATTTGACAACAGCAGCCAAGCTTTAGCTTCTTAATTTGTTTCACTTAGAGTTTTTCTTTTTAAAGCTTTTAGGAGTTTCATCTCACATTATAATTCTGATTAAGTGGCTCCTGCTTTGCCTCCCTCCTAGGCTTGTTATAAGAACAGAGGAGTGTTGGGTACTTTGTGTCTATAATGGTCCCAGAACTCCCTAGAGGGAGGTTTTATATTTAAGACAACAAAAATAACTCTCATTACAATTAATAAAAGAAAAATGAGGCTCCCCATGTGGAATCTCAATAAGCCTCCAGTATATTAAACATTCAGGGAAGAGATTTGCAGAAGACTCAGCCAGTTATATTCAAGAGGGGACCATTATAGCACTGGGAAACAGATGACAATAGATGATGTTCAAGACTGTCACTTGCCACTGAGCTTTAAGTAGCTACAACAGCATTCTTGCTTCTGTGTTCTTAGATTAGAGAGATAACAGGGGTCTGAAGTGTGCTTCCTTGTATTACTCCTCTCACTCTTAGCTTCTTAAACTGTGGGTTCATGATCCCATAGCATAACTAAATATGGAGATCACAAGGCTTTGGAAAGATTTTTGAATACCCAGTGAACAAAAGTTAATTCAACATTAACCACATAATAAATCTGAGGTGTTTCTGGCAGTGCTCACCTGTGATGCATTTCTCAGACAGAAGGGAGTTTTGAGTAGAAAAAGCTTAATAAGCCCTGCTATAATTCGCTTGCCCTCCATACCATTAGGTGTAATGCTTGGGAAGGCACTCCCAATATATACATTATCTTATTTAATCAGTGCAGTGCAATAATGTAGTTCTGAAATGAAATGAGTCATAGTTGAATCTACACACTACTGTACTATTTTGGTGATTCTAGTCAAGCTACTTAACTTCTTTGAACCTCAGCTTGTGCTTTTAGAACAGGAGTTAAAGGCCTTGCGTATGAGCACCTCTTACACACTGCTGGGTATGTTTCTCTAATTAAATGTTTTAATAAAAAAATTAGAATTGTGATTGATTTGGCAGCATATAAACTAAAATTGGAATAATTCAGAAGGATTATCATGGCCCCTGTGCAAGGATGACACACAAATTTGTGTAGTATTGCATATTTTGAGAGAGAGAGGGAGAGAGAGAGAGAGGGAGAGAGAGAGAGAGAGAGAGAGAGAGCAGTACTGAAGGTAGCAAAATCAAAGAAGGAAATTGTTTATAAAGGAGCATCCTTAAGATTTACAGCCAACTTATCTGACAAAATTCTCTGGTCCCAAAGACAGTGGGGGTATTCAGTGAAAAAAAAACTCAATGAAATGAACACCTTACAAAGAATGCTTTACCCAACTAGACTTTCATTCATACTTGAAGGAACAATACACAGCTTCACAGACAAACAACAGCTCAGGGACTTCTAAACTCAAAACCATGGTTACAGAAAAAACTAAGCAGGCTACTTTAAGACAATCCCCTCAAATATACCAAAATCTTGCAGAAATACAGGACAAAACCCTATAACAATAATCTCCCTCAATGTCAATGGGCTAAATGCACTAATTAAAAGGCACAGAGTGTCTTTTAAAAAATTGAACCCAATATTCTGCTGCCTGCAAGTAATACATCTGAACAGTAAGAGTAAACACAAACTCAAAGTCAAAGGCTGGAAAACAATTCTAAAAGCAATAAACTCCCTCAAAAAAGCTGGAGTGGCATGCCAGTAGCAGATCACATAGAATTCAGACTGAAGAGGATTATAAGAGACACCGAAGGTCATTTCTTAATGATCAAGGAATCTGAACATCAGGAAGAACTCACACTCCTAAATGTATATGCACCTAATGAGTAATCAGGAAAATACTTAAAACAACTGCTCATAGAATTGAAGACATTGATTGCAACACAATAATAGTTGAAGATTTCAATAACACTTTATCACCTCTTGATAGATCAACCAGACTAAAGGTCAGCAAGGCCAAACTTTATTTGAGGGAAGAAATGGCAAAGAGGGGTTTAATAGATATATGTAGGATACTTCACATACAAAGGACAGCTTTCCCCCCCAAAAAAAGCTGGATACACATTTTTCTCCAGTACACATGGGACATTCTGCAAGATAGACTACATGAAGGCCCCCAAAACATACCTCCATAAAATTAAAAGGATAAAAATTGTGTCAATGATCTTTTCAGACCATGATGTGTTGAAAATAGAAGTGAATCACACATAGACATGGAGAAGCAAATTAAACACCTGGAAATTAAACAGCTCACTACTGAAATACCAGTGGTTTATTGAGGAAATCAAGAGATTCCTAGAAAAAATTGAGAATGAAGACATGAGTTCTAGAACTTATGGGGCATGACAAAAACAGTGTTAAGAGAAAAGTTTATAGTTCTTCAAGCATTTCTCAGGAAGGAAGAGTAAGCCCACATAAGTAATTTAACCTCACAGATCTTGGAAAATAACCAACAAAAGAAGCCCAAACAAGGCAGGAGGAAGAAAAGAATAAAACCTAGAGTAGAAAATAACAAGTTTGGAGACAAAAAAATAATCCAAATATCAATGAAACCAAGAGCTGGTTCTTGGAAAAAATAAAGTGATCGATAAATCACTAGCAAAACTGACAAAGAAAGAGAGAGAATGAATCCTAGTAAACAGAAAAATAAATTAAAGAGGGGACATCATAACAGAAACCACAGAAATTCTAAGGATCATTAGATATTACTTTGAGAATCTTTATGCCATGAAACAAGAGAACCACAAAGAAATGGAAAAATTTCTGAATTCCTATAACCTCCCAAGACTCACCCAGAAGATCTGGAAGACCTGAACAGACCTATTACTATCATGGAAATTTAAATAGTAGTCAAAAGTCTCCACAAAAACAAAAGCCATGACACAGATGGATTCACTAGTAAATTCTTCCAAATAGAGGACCTACTTCCAATCCTGTTCAAGCTTTTCCAGGAAATTGAAGAAACAGAAACACTTTCAGTTTCTATGAGGTAATTAACACCCTAATCCCCAAAGCAAAACAGAGAAACCACGAAAAAAGAGAAAAACTGTCTTATATTCCTGATGAAGACATATGCAAAGATTCTCAACAAAATACTAGCAAATAGAACCCAAAGACCCAATAAAAAGATGATACACCATGACCAAGTAGGATTCATCCCAGGATGCAAGGATGACTTAACACTCGCAAGTGAATCAACATAATACATCATATGAATAAAAAAAAAGATAAAACCATATGATCATACCAATAGATGTAGGAAAAATATTTGACAAGATCCAACATCCATTTATGATAAAACTATCAACAAAATGGAAGTTGAAAGAACTTTCCTCAGTATAGTCAATGCCATTTATCACAAGCCCACAGCGAGCATCAATCTCAATGGGGAAAAACTAAAAGACTTCCCTCTAAGATCAGGGATTACAAGATTGTCCACTCTTGCAACTTCTATTCAATAGAGTACTGGAAGTACTTGCCATAGCAGTTAGGCAAGAAAATATATCAATAGTATTTATATAGAAAAGGAAGAAGTCAAGCTATCACTATTTGTAGATATGATATTATACTTAGAAAATCCTAAAGACTACATAAAAAGCTCCTAGAAACAACTTGTATAGTAAAGTGTCAGGTTACAAAATCAATACCTCAGTCAATGCTCCATAGATTTCCTCTGTACAAAAAAAATGGAAGAGAAGAAAGAGATATTAAAATAAACTAATCCTGTTCACAACTGTGCCTCAGAAAAATCAAGGATCTCTGAATCAGCTTAACTAAAGGGGCAAAGAACGTTTACAAAGAAAACTATGTAACACTACTTCAGGAAATAAAACAGGACAGAAAGAAATGGAGGTGCATCCTTTACTCATGGGTTGAAAGATTAACATAGGCAAAATGGCAATACTGCCCAAAACATTGTACAGATTCACTGAAGTCTCTATAAAAATACCCAGGACATTTTTCTTTTTCTTTTTTTTGTCATTATGTCATTGGCAAGATATTTTTTAAAGAAATAGGCAAAACACTCTCTAAATTCATATGGAACAATAAACCCCCATGGATAATTTAAAGCAATTCTTGAGAAAAAGAAAATGGTAGTTATCACCTTCCCCAACTTCAAACTGTACTACTAAGCAGTAGTAATTAAAACAGCATGACATTGGAATAGAGACAGAACCACATACCAATGGAATGAAGTTGAATGAACTGACACAGATTCTCAAATATATGATCATTTAATTTTTGACAAAGGAGCAAGAAATATTAAGTGGAGCAAGGAAAGCCTCTTCAACAAGCGGTGCTGGGAAAACTAGACAGCTGCATGCAAAAAAAAAAATGAACTCAGACATCTTTCTAACACCAGGCTCAAAAGTTAGATCAAAATGGATTAAAGACCTCAATATCAGACCTGAATTCATAAGGTACATGGAGGAAAAGGTAAGCAGAAACCCTTCATGACATTGAAGCTAAAGACATCTTTAAAGATGAAACATCACTTACCAAGAAAGAGGAAGCAAAGATAAACCAATGGGACTAATGATTGGAAGCCTGCCTCAAGCGCTGAGACAGAAGGTAATTGGGATAGAGAAGGGACCATTATGACAAATATATAAGAACTGTGTGCTGAAAGCAGGTAAAAGAACAAATATGATAACCTCACAGTATCTATATTGTAAACCATAATGCCAAAAAGGAGAAAGAGGGGGAAGGTGCCTGTCATAGAGGCAGGAAGAGGAGAGGGGGCAGGAGGGAAACTGGGGTCATTAATTGACACTGGTGGAGGGATGTTGAATCACTGTATGATTGCAACTGAATCATGAACAGCTTTCTCACGGTGACTCAATTAAAAAATAAAAATCACTTGTATCACTTGTATCACTTGTCATCCCATTGCTCATCGATTTGCCAGAGTGGGCACCAGTAACATCTCCATTCATCCCTGTCAGGTGCTAGTGTAACCCAATGTGTCTGCTTGCTCCAGGAATACAATGAGCATCAAATTTTTTATTCAAAAAAATAAAAATAAATAAAAAGTTTTAAAAATTGGACTTTATTAACCTAAGGAATTTCTGCACCTCAAAATAAATGGTGACCAAGATATAGATTAAAATCTTTTTATGACATCTTATTATCTCATTCCTACTTTGGACAAACTTGCAGGCTATCGAATGTAGCCTGCCCACAGGGCAGAGTCTGGCAAACTCTCCATGGCATACCAAATATGCCAAATACCAGTAACAATGATGGGTCTCATTCTCCTAAAGAGCCTTGAATATAATCTCAGGGCTAGGATGAAAGAGACGTTACTGGGGCCTGCTCGAGGCAATCGACGAATAACAGGATGATGAATGAATGAAAAAATGAAGATATAGATTCAGCCCACAGAATGGGAAAGATTGTTTTTCCAGTACCCATCAAAAAAGGGTTACTATCCAAGATATATAAGGAACTAATAGAATTTTATAAGAAGAAAACCTCCAATCCCATCAACAAATGGGGAGAATAAACAAACAGAAACTTCATCAACTAAGAAATACAAATGGCTTAGTTGTATTTTTCCTAAGGGGGCAAAGAACCTTTACAAAGAAAATTATGTAACACTACCTCAGGAAATGAAACAGGACAGAAAGAAATGGAGGTGCATCCTTTACTCATAGGTTGAAAGATTAACATAGGCAAAATGGCAATACTGCCCAAAACATTGTACAGAAAAAAATGCTCTACATCAGGGAGATGCAAACCAAAACAACATTGAGACATCACCTTGCTTCACAGAGATTGGCACTCATCAAAAAGTATAAGGACAACTGGTGCTGGCATGGAAAGGGAACAACAGCAAAAAAATACCAAACCATTGAATGAGACTAACATTCAAAGACAGTAGATGAGAGAGCCAGGTTGGAAGATCCACTGTTGAAAGCCTGCCTCAAGGGCTGGGGGATATGGCAGCTATGATCAAAAAGGGACCATTATGACAATGATAGTTGGAAGGGATGGTTCTGGATGGGAGGTGTGTGCTGAAATTGGGTAAAGGGTCAGCATGATAGCCTCTCAGTATCTGTATCGCAAACCATAATGCCCAAAAGGGGAGAGAGAAAGAAAGAGGAGC